GTTCTGAAGGTTCTCACTATCCATCCTATCCTGTCCTCCAGTGTCGTCAGGCCTATTTCCCTCAACCTTTCTTCGTAGGACAATCCCCGTAGCTCTGGGACTAGCCTTGTTGCAAACCTTTGCACTTTCTCTAATTTCTTGACGTGCTTGACTAGGTGTGGATTCCAAACTGGTGCTGCATACTCCAGTATGGGCCTGACGTAAATGGTATACAGAGTCTTGAACGAATCCTTACTGAGGTATCGGAACGCTATCCGTAGGTTTGCCAGGCGCCCGTATGCTGCAGCAGTTATCTGATTTATGTGCGCCTCAGGAGATATGCTCGGTGTTATACTCACTCCCAGATCTTTTTCCTTGAGTGAGGTTTGCAGTCTTTGGCCATCTAAACTATATTGTGTCTGCGGTCTTCTTTGCCCTTCCCCAAGCTTCATGACTTTGCATTTGGCAGGATTAAACTCAAGGAGCCAGTTGCTGGACCAGGCTTGTAGCCTGTCCAGGTCTCTTTGTAGTCCTGCCTGATCCTCATCCGATTTGATTCTTCTCATTAACTTCACATCATCTGCAAACAAGGACACTTCTGAGTCTATCCCTTCCGTTATGTCGTTCACATATACCAAGAACAGCACAGGTCCTAGGACTGACCCCTGTGGAACCCTGCTTGTCACAAGCGCCCACTCTGACACCTCGTCACGTACCATGACTCGTTGTTGCCTCCCTGTCAGGTATTCTCTGATCCATTGCAGTGCCTTTCCTGTTATGTGTGCCTGATCCTCTAGCTTTTGCAGTAACCTCTTGTGAGGAACTGTGTCGAAGGCCTTCTTGCAGTCCAAAAAAATGCATTCGATCCACCCCTCTCTCTCATGTCTTCTGTCACCTTGTCATAAAACTCTAGTAGCTTTGTGACACAGGATTTTCCTGTCATGACAATCCTAATGTCATCTGCAGAGGAAGACGTGGAACTATGGCTTACATCTCTGTCAGAAATGAGGATGAGGAATAGAATGGGAGTGAGTACAGTGCCTTGTGGAACAGAGGTTTTCACCGTAGCTGCCTCAGACTTTACTCTGTTTACTATTACTCTTTGTGTTCTGTTTGTCAGGAAGTTATAGATCCATCTACCAACTTTTCCTGTTATTCCTTTATCATGCATTTTGTGCGCTATTACATCATGGGCACACTTGTCAAAAGCTTTTGCAAAGTCTGTGTATACTACATCTGCATTTTGTCTTCTAGAGTATCCAGGACCTTGTCACAATGGTCCAGTAGTTGAGAGAGGCAGGTGCGACCTGCTCTAAACTCACGTTGCTCTGGGTTGTGTAACTGATGGGTATCTAGATGAGTGGCGATCTTGTTTCTTCGAACCCTTTCGAAGATTTTTATGATAAGGGATGTTAATGTTATTGGTCTGTAGTTCTTTGGTATTCCTTTACTGCTCCCTTTGTGGAGTGCGGCAGTGTCTGTTGTTTTTAGTGAGTGTGGGATGACGCCTGTGTCCATGACCTGGAGTTTAACCCCACTAAGTGCAAAGTCATGAAGCTTTGGAAAGACAAAGGAGACTGCAAATGAAGTACAAGCTCGGAAGTCAAAGGCTGAATACATCACTCAAGGAGAAGGGTCTTGGGGTGAGCATCATCCCGAGCACATCTCCTGAGGTGCACATCAACCAAATGACTGCTGCAGCATATGGGTGTCTGACAAATCTAAGAATAGCATTTTGACATCTAAGTAAGAAATAATTCACGACACTGTACACTGTGCACATCAATCCCACATTGGAGTATGGAACACCACTATGGAACCCACACCTGGTCAAGCACATCAAGAAACTGGAGAAAATGTAGAGGTTAGCAACAAGACTAGTCCTGGAGCTAAGAGGTATGTCCTATGAGGAGAGTTTAAGGGAACTCAACCCAATGACACTGGAGGACAGGAGGAATAGGGAAATATATGATAACATATAAAATACTGAGAGGAATTGACAAGGTGAACAGAGGCAGAATGTTTCAGAGATGGGACACACGACGAAGGGGCACAACTGGAAGTCAAAAACACCGATGAGTCAAAGGGATGTTAGGAAGCATTTCTTTAGCCTTAGAGGTGTCAGGAAGTGGAATAAACTAGAGAGTGAAGTAGCAGAGGCAGGGTGCATACATAGCTTTAAGAAGATGTACAATAAGGCTCTTGGAACCAGGAGAGTGAGCCTAGTAGCTACCAGAAAAGAGGCGGGGCCAGGAGCTGTGACTCGATCCCTGCAATCACATAGGTGAGCACACACATGCTCATTAAAAATCGGTGGGGATTTGAGGAAATGGAATGGATGGAATGGACAAAAGGGACTAGTAGGAACAATCCAGTCTGAGGGCCATAAGGCGGTAATTGCAGTAATGTACAACCCGCCACAGAACTGCAGGAGGCCAAGACAAGAATATGAGGAGAGCAACAGAGCAATGGTCGACACACTTGCCGATGTGGCCAGAAGAGTTTACATGGGGGGAGCAAAGTTACTAGTTACGGGTGATTTCAATGACAAGGACACTGGGAAAACCTGGAGCCCCCATTGGGGTCCCGAAACATGGAGGGCCAAGATGATGGATGTGGTACTGGAAAACCTCATACATCAACATGTTAGAGACTACCAGAGAGAGAGAGGTGAGGATGATCCAGCAAGACTGGACCTTGTATTCACCTTGAGTAGTTCAGACATCAAAGATATCATGTATGAAAGGCCCCTTGGAGCTAGTGATCATGTGGTTTTGGGCTTTGACTACATAGTTGAGCTACAAGTGGAAAGAGTAGCAGGAATAGGATGGGAAAAAAACAAACTACAAAAGGGGGGACTACATAGGCATGACGAACTTCCTGCAAGACGTTCAATGGGAAAGAGAACTGGCAGGAAAACCAGTAAAAGAAATGATGGACTATGTGACAACAAAATACAAGGAGGCAGAGGAGAGGTTTGTTCTCAAGGGAAACAGAAATATAATTGGGAAGACCAGAACGAGTCCTTGGTTCACCCAAAGGTGTAGGGAGACGAAAACTAGGTGTACTAGAGAATGGAAAAGGTACAGAAGACAAAGGACCCAGAAAAATAAAGAGATCAGCCGAAGAGCCAGAAACGAATATGCACAGATAAGAAGGGAGGCTCAGCGACAGTACGAAAATGACATAGCATCGAAAGTCAAGTCTGACCCGAAGCTGTTGTATAGCCACATCAGGAGGAAAACAACAGTCAAGGACCAGGTAATCAGACTGAGGAAGGATGGTGGAGAGGTTCACAAGAAACGACCAAGACGTATATGAGAACCTCAACATGAGATTTAGAGAAGTATTTACAGTGGAAACAGGGACTCCAGGAAATCAGAACAGGGAGGTACACCAACAAGTACTGGATGAGGTACACATAACCGAGGAGGAGGTGAAGAAGCTATGTGAACTTGATGCCTCAAAGGCGGTGGGACCAAACATCTCTCCGTGGGTCCTTAGAGAGGGAGCAGAGATGCTGTGTGTGCCACTAACAAAGATTTTCAACACACCCACTGAAACTGGGCAACTGTCTGAGGTATGGAAGATGGCAAATGTAGTCCCAATTTTTAAGAAAGGAGACAGACATGAGGCATTAAACTACAGACCTGTCACTAATGTGTATAGTATGCAAAGTCATGGAGAAGATCATCAGGAAGAGAGTGGTGGAGCACCTGGAAAGAAACAAGCATATAATCGACAACCAGCATGGTTTCAGGGAAGAAAAATCCTGTCACAAACCTACTGGAGTTTTATGACAAGGTGACAGAAGTAAGACAAGAGAGAGAGGGGTGGATAGACTGCATTTTCTTGGACTGCAAGAAGGCCTTCGACACAGTTCCTCACAAGAGGTTAATGCAAAAGCTAGAGGATCAGGCACACATAACAGGAAAGGCACTGCAATGGATCAGAGAATACCTGACAGGGAGGCAACAATAAGTCATGGTACGTGACGAGGTGTCAGTGTAGGTGCCTGTGACAAGCGGGGTTCCACAGGGGTCAGTCCTAGGACCTGTGCTGTTTTTGGTATATGTGAATGACATAACGGAAGGGATAGACTCAGAAGTGTCCTTGTTTGCAGATGATGTGAAATTAATGAGGAGAATCAAATCGGTCGAGGATCAGGCAGAACTACAAAGAGACCTGGACAAGCCTGGTCCAGCAAGTGGCTCCTTGAATTTAACCCTGCCAAATGCAAAGTCATGAAGATCAGGGAAGGGCAAAGAAGACCGAAGACACAGTATAGTCTAGGTGGCCAAAGACTGCAAACCTCACTCAAGAAAAAAGATCTTGGGGTGAGTATAACACCGAGCACATCTCCTGAGGAGCACATCAATCTGATAAGCGCTGCAGCATACGGGCATCTGGCAAAGCTAAGGATAGCATTCTGATACCTCAGTAAGGAATCGTTCAAGACTCTCTACACCATATTCATTAGGCCCAAACTGGAGTATGCAGCACCAGTTTGGAATCCACACCTGGTCAAGCACATCAAGAAATTAGAGAAAGTGCAAAGGTTTAAAACAAGACTAGTCCCAGAGCTAAGGGGATTGTCCTACGAAGAAAAGTTAAGGGAAATTGGCCTGACGACACTAGAGCACAGGAGGGTCAGGGAAGACATGATAACGATGTATAAAATACTGCGCGGAATAGACAAGGTGGACAAAGACAGGATGTTCCAGAGATGGGGCACAGAAACAAGGGGTCACAAATGGAAGTTAAAGACTCAGATGAATCAAAAGGATGTTAGGAAGTATTTCTTCAGTCATAAAGTTGTCAGGCAGTGGAATAGCCTAGAAAGTGACGTAGGGAGGAGAGAACCATACATAGTTTTAAAGCGAGGTTTGATAAAGCTCATGGAGCAGGGAGAGGACCTAGTAGCAATCAGTGAAGAGACAGGGCCAGGAGCTATGAGTACAAATAGGTGAGTACACACACACACACACACTCACGTTCGTAAGACTAGTATGAGCACTAACCTGGTTGAGTTGTTGGTGGGGAAGGAGTGCAGGTGGTGGTGAGTTAGGTTCAGTACCTTGCAGTAGTGTTTGTAAGGTGATCACATCTTCAGCCTCACTCTCCAGCTCCCCACCACACGTCTCTGTATACACCACTAACCCGAACACACTGACGTACACAAAAATGAATTATTATTATTATTATTATTATTATTATTTTATGGAAGTGCTATCCCAGAAAGATTTAACGCTAGGGGAATAGCATGAAATTTGGTTTGATACGAGGAATGGGAGAGTATCTCTATTTTCTTGCATCAAGAAACCTTCACCAGCCTTACGCTACGTCCCTTGAAGGACACCATCATGAAAGCATTATGTACTGAAAAATATAATTTCTCTTCAGGCTCCACAATAAGAGTAACTATGTTTGCATTTAGGCTCTGGGTACATAACATACAAAAAATACAATGTTCATGAGGGCGTACACATAGACAGAAAATAGGTACATTATGTATGAGGAGATAAGGAAAGTGGAATATTCAAACGGCATGGACAAACGAGCATGGATACTGGGGTCATCCCACACTCACTAAATACAACAGACATAGCTCCACTCTACAAAGGTGGCAGCTAAACAATTGCAAAGAACTACAGACCGATAGTGCTAACATTCCTTATAAAACTCTTGGAAAGGATTCTAAGAAACACGATCGCTAACCACCTAGATACCCATGAATTACACAGCCCAGGGCAACACAGGTTTAGAGCAGGTGGCTCCTGCCTGTCCCAGCTACTGGATCACTATGGCAAGGTCCCTCAAGGAAGGTTCCTTGATGCTGGTGAGGGGCTCTTGATTAGGGAACTGGATCTGTGCTCCAGTTCCCTGAGTTAAACCTGAATACCTTCCATCCCTCCCCCAAGCACTGTATAATCCTATGGGTTTTGTGCTTTCCCCCCCGATTATAAT